CTCTTGGAGAAGAGACGAAACGTTTCATTAGAGAAGAACCCGTCCAGAAGACCTATACAATTTTTTTCTTTTTGATATAGATAAATATTAGTGGCACTACTTTACTACGAATTATTTGCCACAGAGAGTTGCCTAAGAATGTATGTGTAAAAACCACAAGTAACTTTTTTTTATTTGAAGTTTGATGGCTAAAATCTGTTTTGTCTCCTGCTGGTAAGATACTTACTACTCATAACCTCTCTACATAAACCACACCATTCTTTTAATGGGATTATCTATRATGGTGTGATTTTTCAGTAAGGAAACAGAGGCAAAAGATTCGATTTTTCATTGGATTTATGTTTAAGATATAATAATGCAAATAAGCCATGAACTGCACAATAAATATCCAGTTCATACTTATCTATAAATTTATCTTTATTTTTAATTTTACTTTGTTGGACCCTATAAGTAAACTTTGTAATTTGTGTACTTTATTTGGCTTTACACTTTTATTTCACCGACTTTCAGAATCGAATATTAATTAACAWCTAAATTAAAATCATATTTGTGTTAGTTTAGGTGATTATGAGTTTGTTCTAGAAAAGGTTTGTGCAAGAAATTCAGCAAAGGTTTACACTATTACATGTTTCTTAAGCTTCAAAGGGTACAGAAGTAAAGTCTGCATGTTTGTACACAACTCACCATGRCTACTGAGCAACACACCGGCATTAGTTGACAGAAAATGTCACGTGTGAAGGGTGCAAGGCCATGATTTGTTTCTGAAAGCTGTTATATGTCGGGTCAAAAGTCAAGGAGGCAATGGCAGCTCCAGATGGTTACTTTCTACTTTGGGAAAAAGACGGTGTTAAGAAACACCACATCTCTAAATATGAGATATGTTGACATGAGGATTTATTTTAAGTTTTAGGATTCTTGAAGGGTCAGCGTGCCTGACCCTGTTATGAATACGCGGTCATAAAAAATAAAGTGACAGTCAAAAGAGATTTRCAAAGGTTTTAAAAAAAGTGCTTTTAACTACAGTCAATTTTCTGTCCAAATTCTCCTCATGAAACGAGACTTGGTTCATTAACTCTGACTTTTATAGCTTGCCTACAGTTTTGGCACACATTACACACCTTGGTGCAGGCTAGCTTTTTATTTTCCCTCCTCCTCTTTTCTCACTGTGTCTCTTTTTTTCCCCATCCTCTAYGCCAATGCCAAAACCCAGGTGACCAATACGTTGTGTGCAGTTTGATCAGGTGTCAAGTGGCTTTAATGCTGGCGGTGCTGCAGTCTGCTGCATGAGAGCGGCATGGTGTCGTTTTCTTCCAGTCAAGAATGTTGCCAACATTAACACCATGTGCATCAGAAACGACACAGGCTCAGAGAAGAGAACTTTGTATGGTCACTTTTCAGCACATCATTATGCAGCAGGCAGCATATTAGGCCCTTCCTTCAATAAATCCTCTAAGCCACATGCGTCAAACTCAAGGCCTGCGGGCCACATCTGACTCCTGTGTGGCCCGCCAGGGGTCCCCTCCCTCCATTTTTTTTACTGAACATGAAAATTATTTCTTATATCAATGGTAAACTTTAATTTTATGATTAAATACAACAAAATAAACTTAAAAGGTGAAAGATAATAACAACTGTCCTGCCACTGAGCTGTTCGTTTTTAGTAACTGAGCAATTTATTTGGATAGAACAGTCTGAAAATAAACTGCTTTGAAGTTGGCATCAACCATAAACTAAATCTGCCATAATGCATACTACTCACTAAGAAACTCATCAGTGAGAAAAACTTTATTAGTTTTACTTTTATTAATATTTCTGTATTTATTTCAGATTTTGTCAGTCGTACACTCAGTTCTTATCAGTGTTTATGTTAAAACACTTGAAAAAATTTATAGTTATTACAGGTTAGTACTGATGTTAGAAGCACAACACTATATTATTAGGGTTTCCTTTTTATAATGTTTGATCTATTATGCGTTGATTGATATAGAGTACTTACATGTCCGAATCATAAACAACACATAATTGAAACGTTATTATAACATTAGATTGAGACTTTTGTATGAATGCCTGTGATTCAGCCGTAGGTCAGTAGGGGGCGAACTCAGGCATTGAAGAATCATGTATAAATTGATGAACTTCCTGGCTTTTAGTCAGTGTGGTTTCCTGTCAGCTCCGCTTGGCAATAAACCTCACTCAGTTCCAGATTCTGGTTTTGTATGGTTTTATTCCTTCTACTAATCATATTATTTAACTTTGGTGGTTTTCATGTTGACTTGACTTCAGTCTATTGAACACGTAATTTTCTTACATACTGTTTAGTCAAAGTTAAACATAAAACGTCAAAGTTTATTACAACTGGCCCTTCGAGGGCCACCATAACACTCATGTGGCCCTCAGTGAAAATGAGTTTGACACCCCTGCTCTAAGCTTTCATGAACAGACTGGGGAGTAAGTACCAGACTCTTCTTAAAGTCTCCTGATACTCTGGAAGTGTCCCTCAAACACAGAACCAATCCTGCAAAGTTCTGTCAGAGTGTGGGACTGTTGTGGTGCTTTGGGTAGAAAACATTTCATGTGAATGTAATGTTGTGTTCTGTTCACTTCAGAAGTAAAAACACAGATCTGGAAATTAAGTCAAATCCAACTTTATGCATTTTCTACATTCAAACATAATGAAGATAAAACAGTATGTGTGCAACTAATTTAATGAGATACAAACTGACAGTAACTGTAAAGTGACTTCCACATTTTCTTTTAAAGAAAATGTAAAAATGGTAACTCARTTGAGTGGAAATTGTTGCTATAACTTGGTTAAGTAAATCCAACACATCTRTTTTTTGAGTGCATGTTCATTTCTAACACTGAAAAGGTAAATTATGACTTTGAAGTTTTTTTTTCTGAACTTGGAACTTAAATATTTTGACCTTAGAGATCAAACCAAATGTGGTCAATTCATCTTAGCTTGCTTCTTAGCTTGCTAACTGATATGTTAGCACAAACAACTGTAACTAACCCACAGAAACAAAGCTCTTAAAACACCATCTTATTATAAAGTTTATGTATGTTGAAGTTTTAAAATTGGCAGCAGTGGTTAGCACCAAYGCCTCACAGCAAGAAGGCCTTGGGTTCGACCCCCAGGTCGGATCTGGAGTCTTTCTGTGTGGAGTTTGCATGCTCTCCTCGTGCTTGCTTGGGTTTTCTCCAGGTACTCCGGTTTCCCCCACTCCCTAAAATGTACAATGGTTTGCCTTCAGGCCCAGGCCTCCCTTGAAAAAGAGATCAGCGATCTCAATGTGATTTTCCTGGTTAAATAACAGAAAAATAAATAAATAAAAATAAAATGACATCTGACCGTCATCAGCAATGCTGCAGTAAAATTTGTTAAACACAGCAGTATAGCTGGTTTCAAACATTTATTTTGAAGTGTAGCAGACAATGTCTGTATAAACTGTTATCCATTGTATATTGTTATGATAAACCAAATAATTTCAAATATCAAAAATCCAAATGATAAATAAACTGAAGTTAGGCTAACCAGTGTCTCCCATTAATATTTTCTTCAAAATGTAAAGACACTCTACATTAATTATGTTTAAGAATGAGAGAAGTTTGAAATATGTTACAAAGATGGAGAAAACGTGACTAAACTAACAAAACCATGTTCACTCAGAAGATGCAGTAATTCATTGAACAAAGACAGAATTATCAACAACTACAAACAAAGCTGAATCTGTTGGTGGTGTGTTTGAAAAGAAAACATTTAATATCAAATTATTCGATGCCTTTTAGCATTTTGCACCATTAAAGAACAGGTTTGGCAGCACTCTCAAATGTGCGCACACGTTTCCAAAAGCACAACAATTACAGCGGGAGAAGAAAACAAAGACTTTGTCCTTGTACTGTTTGAAATCTTTATAGCTGCTCATCTTTTATCACATCTTTCTGTTAYCTTTTAAGAAACAGTTTTCAGTACAAATATGTCCAACACAATAAAAAACGAGGGAAGACAGGAGACAAGTTTCATGATGTTTAAAACACAGAACAGATGTGCTACTGGGAACTCATAAGAAGGAAATCTGTCYATGCATTTTAACTCTCAGATATACTGTGGCGTAAATTTCACTCTGTCTTATTGTTAAGACGAGAGCAGATTGCTTAGATTTATTTTAATCTTAGAATGGACAGCTCTACTTTAGATTTTACTGCCTTGAGAGCACGTATCACTACAACAGAGTGAACACACACTTCAGGCAAATRTTACCAAAGTCATGGTTCTGAAGWAACTATAATGACCACTCGTTCATGATTGTAAGAAATGGCTCTCTCTGTCTCTGGAATGAAAACTCACTTAGTATGGTTCATGGACTAAGGTGTTTAAAAAGGCACTTTGTGTTTCATTTAGAAAGATTTGTGTTGTTGCAGTTCTTGTTTGTGGTGTTCCACAAGGGTTTTACCTGGAAAATCTCCTTTAGTTTAAGGCAGTAAGGTTCGTAGCTGATAATACCAAGATGAAGCTTTGTTAAATTTTGGTCCAAGACCTTCAGCAAGAGCACAAACAGGATTCCAACTATTTTATGACAGAAAGACATGAGAAAATACTTCCTCACGTTTYATTTTGCAAACTAGATTTGTAGTTATGCCTCCATGTTTTGAGTATTCTACTAGCTTAGCTTCTTGAAGTGTTTGGGTCTGGCTTTTTAAGAAATTAGTGTGTTTCTCAGAGCTTATTGGAGCACTGCATTGTTTTTTTTTTTATCACCATTAAAATCCTAAAAGCTGCAGAGCAGARCAACGTTCACATATTCAGCACAGCRATAAAGTGGTTTTACAAAACCTCACAAAAGATGTAGAAAATATAATGTCATGAAATGCTGATACAACTTGAACACCGGTATCAGTCTGTCATAGTGCTAAAATGTTAAATCTTTAAAATGAAACCAATATATAATGGTTTCTCAGAAGGAGGCTGAAACGACACGTTAGCCCCAAAAGTCAATGTGGTATATGGTTGATTGGACATAGAGTTCACTGATAACACACATGTTAAATGAGACACATCTTCAGAACGGCAGAGTATCCATAAAGATTTTCTCCACTATTGGGGGAGGMGGGACCAGGTCCTCCAATTTCAAGTAGAAGATGCGCTGCCGGCCCTGAGTGCACAGAGTCCTCAGCTCGGGGAGTTTCCCCAGWAGACGTGAAATATAGTTGGGCTGTGTCCGGCTTTGATCTGAGCCACTTCCAGTCATGTATTCCCCTAAACAGGTGATGAGGTTGCTTTGAAAGTCCTCAACTCGTCTGGGCTCCTTGAGGCCATGGCGGTCTATTTAAAAAAAAAAAACGATGTTCCCATCAGAAAGTCTGAACTACAAATTACATTCAGAAACAAACACAAAGTATTTTACCTGTGATGATGACRAGGGCAGAAAGACAGGCATACAGCGAGGTGTCTAAGTTCATCCGATGAAGGCTCTGAGAAAAGTCCATGATGGAGTCGATCCAGGCTCCGAAACTGTGAACGCACTGCTGCCGGTGGAGGACGACGCCGTTACAGAAGATCAGCTTGTTCTCTTCTGGTTTTGACCTRAATCGTTGAAAACCGTCAAAGAAAAGTGCACACTAATGCTGCTAAATAACTTTTTTTAAACAATGCAGCAACCTGTATGCCAGGCGAAGGATGAAGAGTTCGACAAAGGCAGATTCAAGAAGCAGCTCCTGGTCCTCTGTGCAGAAGTCTGTGAATCCTGGGATGGTTTGAGCCCAGTTTCTTATTACCTCCAAAGCACCCGTCAGCAGATCATAAAACTGCTGGATGTCATCAAYGTCCTCCTTTTCTTTCAGATTGTCTGTCTTCTCCTCATACTGCAGAAAGAAGAAAAGGATTACTAAGTTGTTTTTATTTCTCTCTCTTTGCGCCACCTAACCAGTGCAATTACAACAGAGAGCTGGGCGGCTGAAAGTCAGGCGCTTCACCTTGGAGAAGTCAAGCTTTTCGTTKACTGGGTCAGAGTCTAAATGAGCTCTGACAAGAGACGATAAGATGTTCACACTGGAGGTTGTGGATGAAGCCTCATTCACTGTCTTGGATTTGGAGGGCAGGCGACCTCTGCGACCTTTGAGGCTGTCTGTGCGAACAACTAGGAGAAGGACAAGGAGATGAACACATTTGCCTTAACATCACACGGCAACTGTTGCAGCTCACATTTTAAAAAATAGCTTCTGTAATAGTTTCAGCACCACCACCCGACCCCCTCCCTTTTTTCTACAGCTGGCACTGTAAAACTCGGGTTACGCATGTCTTCACTTCAAGCTTTGGTTTCCCAAGACTGTCATTACAAACCCCAGGTTGCTGTCATCGTGCACGAGACCCGTAAATGCTTCACGGGAGTCTGACATTGCTTTACCTTCTTTGACCATTCCCACTGCGAGACATTTCTGGAAACGACAGAACTGGCATCGGTTTCTCCTCCTCTTGTCTACTGGACAGTCTTTATTGGCGAGGCACACGTACTTTGCGTTTTTCTGGACAGTTCGCTAGAAAATAAAATTAAAAAATCTTTACAACATGACCTAAATATGGCAAACATACAGTATAACATTGCACATAACAGAATGGTAACAATAAATCTCTACAATGACTTATTTATTATCCAGCTTCTTTTATCTCTATAGCTACATTTACATGGACATAAGTAATCGGATTAAACGGCCATTCGGAATAAAAATGCATCATGTAAACACCCAATTCTGATTATTCTGACCCGATTCAACTCGATCCGAATGAAATTGTAAATCGGAATGAGAGAGGTGGTTTATGCCGATTGATAATCTGAACAGGGTGCATGTAAACACTTGATCTGATCATTTTATTC